GTTTATAACCTGGTATAAGAAATAAAACCTCTACACAGGTAACCACAGTGCAAGGTGGAAAGCAATAAGGCAGGAGGTCTAGCAAGCTACCTACCCAGTGTGGGTTGAACTACTTGGCTACCATCTTGCGTTCATGAACGTGGTGGAGGGAAGCTCTGTTCTTCTCACAGGGAAACCCCCAACCACTGTGGTCCTCTCTTCCTGCCCTTCCAGAGGTGATAACTCACCAGCTACTTGGTCTAGAGTTTATTACCCTGGTCATTTGATCAATCTGAGAAGGCCTCTCTTTCCATTATCACAGCTTACCATCACATGCAAGTTTCCTTTACGCATTTATGTACTATTATTACTATTATTTTTGAGACACAGTCTCCCTCTTTTGCCCAGGCTGAAGTGCAGTGCTATGATCTTGGCTCACTGCAACCTCCTCCTCCCAGGTCCAAGTGATTCTTGTGCCTTAGCCTCCCAAATAGCTGGGACTACAGGCACGTGCCACTGTGCCTGGCTAATTTTTGTACTTTTTGGTAGAGACGGGGTTTCATCATGTTGGCCAGACTGGTCTCAAACTCCCGGCCACAAGTGATCTGCCTGCCTCGGCCTCCCAAAGTGCTGAGATTGCAGGTGTGAACCACTGTGCCTGGTGGCATTTATGTATTGAATAAGTATTGTTGTTACTTAGTACTGTTAGCTAACTTTTATTTAGTTCCCACTATGTACCAGACACTGTTTTAAGGCATTATCTGTATTAATTCATTTAATTCTATGTCAAAGGAAGAGGCTATCTCTCAAAATCTGAAACAATATTTGAAGCTCAATTGTCTGTTAATCAAGGGAGAACAACATATCTCTCTGAACAAAGCAAAAGTTGAGCCTATATAGAATTTTGGAAGCTATGGAGGGGAGGAATTAGTAAAAACGCAGAAGTTGGAGTCTTTAAGGAATTGACTGGCTTTCAAATTCAGAAGTGTGGTTTCTGGAGTGAGCCCGTGGTCCATGGTCTGACTTTCAGAAGTCAAATGACTACCATAAAGAAAATAAGAGCACAGAAAGAGCGGCTGCAGTAGCAAGAATGGAGAGGAGAGGAAAGGGAGGGTCTTTCAGCCACAGTTTCCTTTAATAATGCAGAGAACAGAACCCCAGGTTTGCCTTGCTGACTGTTCGCGGGGTTCTTTCAGCCACCACTGTCTCTTCTCTATCCCGTTATCTGTGTTCTATGTCTATTGCACCCCCAGCCAAAGGTTTTTCCTGCTTAATCAGGTCGTCTCCTTGCTGTGCTATCAGTTCAGAAAGGCATACAGACAACCTGCGATGGCATCTCAGAGGAGGAAGACATTATCGCTGGTTGGTTGAAGGAACCGGGAGGAACTTATTTCATTGAATAGTCAAAAAATGTTCATCAAACTCCTACAAACTGCCAGGCACCTTCTGGGTGCTATGGAAATAACAGTGAAACCAACAGACACAAACTTATGCTCTCACAGAGCTTAACCTTTCTTTATTGGAGAGACAGATATTTTATATATATATATATATTTGTATAGGTATTATATGTCCCATCGTAGTCACTGCTCTGGAATCAAAACAGAGAAAGTAGTGCAGAGAGGTAGTTGCATCGTCGTATGAGGTGGTCAAGGGAGGCCTCCCTGAGAAACTAATGTTTCAGGAAAGAATCAGAATGGTGAAAAGACCACAGATGGTAGAGCTGTACGAGCTTGGAGAACAGTAACGAGATGAGGTCTGAGGTCCATGAGATAATAAGGAAATGGGCCTTAGAGGTTATCAGAAGGATGTTAGCTTTCAGTTTGATGAGGAGTCATTGAATGGTTTAAGCAGAGAAGTCATCATGTGATCAGATTTACCTTTTCAAGGGAACGTAGGAGGTACTGTGTTTAGAATAGTCCACAGAGAATGAGGGGAAAGGGTGGAAGAAGGTGGTTAGTTGGGAGGCTACTGCAGTAACCCTAGCATTTGATGGCGGTTTGAACTAAGGTGGTAAAAGTGGGGGTGATGAAAAGCAGTCATATCCTAGGTATAGTCTTCATGGAAGATTCCTCAAATTGAAAGATTTGATTAAGAGCCACTATAAACTCTAGCAGTTAGAATGAAAATTCTGAATATCCTTCCTCAGGAGACCACAGCTTGACCTATTCTAGAATCTCCAGAGGTCCTTTTTTGACCTGGGCTGGGGGAGAAAGAGGCACATTATCACATCTGGCTATAAAAATGAAATATGTCCATCAAAGACAAGACATAATCTAGACCCAATTCTGTATAGATTTTTATAGTATTTTCTCCTAGATAATTGTGTGAATTATGGGGATTTTTTTAATTCATTGGTGTGAAGACAGTGATAATTTAAATTTTACTGCTATTCTAGTTACGAGTGGGTGTTGACATTTTTTATTTTATCGTGTGTGTGTGTGTGTGTGTGTGTGTGTGTGTGTGACACACACACGGAGCAGGGTGAGAGAAAAAGAAAAAGACTGAGCAGGCTATAGAGCTGCTGCTATTCTCTGGGTAATAAAAGCTTGAAATCCTACTAATGAGGTTAAAAAAAAAAACCTTAACTTTTTCTGTGTGCTTAATAATAGCACTGCCTACTCACATAACCAGAGTTCTTGGAATAATTGCCCTCTTTCTTACTCTATTTTTAGGGCCTAGAAAATTTGGGAGGACAGGAAAGTACCTTCAGGTGCAGAGCATTTCCATCTAAAAGCTCAATTCTAGGACTTCAACATTTGGCTCTAAACCATGTTAAATGTTTCCTTTCATGTGAAAGTGAAGGCTGGAACTGACATTCATCATTGGAGCTCTGAATGGCTCCTCTTTCAGTGAGAGGACAAAAGATTGATCCTTTGCTGCAGATTCCATCTTTCCCCAATTGGGGGATCTTCCTGTAATATTTTTTTCTGGTGCTTTTGTAGACACCATTTGTGTTTGCCAATAACAGAATTGAAGTGTTTGTGAAGCCATAGAATTTTATCAGAACGTTTAACTTTGAGGAGAAGGTGGAGTCTAAGGTATGATAAATGTTAATATTGTTAGAGCCCTCACTAAGAGTAGAAGTGTTTGAAATACATATATTTAGAAGGGTTTTTTTTTTGTAGACCATTGGAATATTTAAGATGGATTTAAAATAGAAGGTACTGTGTGAGGTGCAGTAAAATTGTTCCTGTAAATTTCAACAATTAAATGAACATATACATTATAAGGTGGAGAAACACACTGATTAGAAAAAGGGAATATGATTAAATCAAAGCTTGTGCTAGAAATTGGTTGAATATCTGGATTGAGTTGCCAGAATTATTTTTGTGGAGGGCTATTTTGGGTAGGCAGTAACCTTTCTTCTCAGATATAGATTTTCACGTTGACTTTTAACATTTAGTCAATGATCGGCATGTACAGTCTTGAACATGTTCCGTCTCATCCTTTTACCTGTGCTTAAACTGCAAGGTTGAAAAGTTTAAAGTCATTTAATACAGGCTTAACAAACCATTGTGCTGCTTTCTTTCCTCTATCATTCTCTAGGTAGAAAATGGCTGAAAAATTACGGGCTTTCAGGGACAAAACAGTATCTGTAATATAGAGGAACATTTAAACATAGAATTAAAACATACAATTAAGATTAGTGACATATTTATATTGCTGCTTTTAGGAATGATTTAAAAGGGAAAATATGGTATCCCTAACAAATTACGAGAGAAAGAGTGTGTGTGTGCACACGTGTGTGTGTATGTGTCTGTGTGCATGAAACAGACGTGGGCTTATGCTTACGAAGATCTTTTTGTACATGTGTTTGAAAGGTGACTGCAAGAATGAGTAAAATGAGTTGCATTTACATTTCTTCAGCTCCTCCACACTCCCTGATGCTAAACAAGATGCTGCAAGAATGGAAAATAGAACTTTCCGTGTAAACTTTGTAATCTAGTTCATAGAGAAATTGGCCAACAGCTACATACACCTAAAGGAAGAGGGAACATACATTTGGAGAAACATATTCATGTGTGCCAGTTCAAGAAGAAAGCAGCTAGCTCTTTGCCTTTAAAGATTTCAATATTCACTTTGCTGAAGGTGACCCGGTGATCCCTCTTAGATGCTTCCATAATTTAGATACATCAAATACATGATGGATCTTTATAAAATTCAATTTGTTATTTCAGTCTGGAAATGCATTATCTCTTCCTTAAAGAAAACAAATTGTGTAAGGACAGGTGATATTTTCTTTATCTCTGCCCAAAGCTTCATCCTAGGGCTCAGAAATGCTAAAGGACTTTGTACAAGGAAATGAAGCTAAAAGCTTGCTACCTTAATTATAGGATACCAGATTCTGAAAGTTAAAACAACTATTGTATTATATTGTATTATTTATATTTTAAGGGGACACCGAAAGCATAGAGGAGGTGTTAATTCTAGATAAAATCTGAAGTGATTTTTCCTCATCCTTTTCTCCAAATGCTTTAATCTTCTTCCTCCATCTTAAACTCTCCTGTGGTAGAGTAATGGCTGTCTCTGAGGAAAGGATTAGGGAAATCACTTAATCATTCATGCATGTGTAGGAATGCCAATGAATATATACTCTCTTTTAGGGGTATAGTTGCTTTGTGAACCAACTCTAATTACGGAAATCATTTTTTTCCCCAACTTCAGACACCATCTAGCATGGGAATTGGTGTATGTGAATGGTACCTTTCCTCATCAGACCTGAAATTATACTGAATGAGGGGTCATATACTCCATGACTAACTCAGCCCAGTACAGAGTAACATATAAGGTAGCTTTACTTAATCCATAAATTGTGAGCTTTCCTTGTAAAATTTTCCTTAACTCTATCATACCATTGTGTGTCATAAGAAATCGTCAGCTCAACACCTCAAATGATGCCTTCATGTATTAAAAGATGTGCCATTTGAAGCTGGGATAGTGATGCATTTTGTCCCCTGTGCTTCATTATGTGATGTATTAGATTATATCTCAAACACAATTTGTTTGCATGCTTCCAGGAGCTGTTGATCAGCAAGAGATGATTCCAAGTAAGAAGAATGCTGTTCTTGTGGATGGGGTTGTGCTGAATGGCCCTACAACCGATGCAAAAGCTGGAGAAAAATTTGTTGAAGAGGCCTGTAGGCTAATAATGGAAGAGGTGGTTTTGAAAGCTACAGACGTCAATGAGAAGGTAAAAATTAAAACCTGTAAGAAATTGCAGAAATGGGAAAGATAGATGTTCCCCAAATCAGTATGGCTGAATATAAGGGAAATGGGAAGGCTAAGTTTTTATTTCTTCTATGCCTTTGTCTCAAAAGGATGTCCAGATATAAAAGTGTAGGCTGTCCTTCAGGCAATTCCTGCTTTCCTTGAAGGGTTGACTCCCTCTGCCAGTCATCATTCATGGGAAGATTGACTGAGACCCTAGAGCTTAATCACATAAGGCCATGAAGCACAGGGATGAAACTCTCTGCCCTAGATAATAACATAGATAAGTAACCTGCTAATCTGACTTATGCAACTCTCTAATGCTCTTCACTCCCCATTTTCTAGTGCACACTCTTCATGTTGCTCATGAAAATCAAGCAAAAGATAGAAAAGGATGTGAAGATATTTTAAATTTATCTTAAGGTCCTTATCAAGAGCTTGTCTGAATTTAGCCTAGAAATCTTAGATGGTTAAGCCTGACTCCTTTATGGTACCAATTATTGATTATAGATTTCAAATTCAGGCTCAAATTCAATTCAAATTGATACTAGAACCGCTGCTAATGGCATCTACTCTTAAGAGTACTTACTATGTTCTAAGGACTACTCCTTATGTATTTAATCCTTTCAAAAGCAATAAAAGGCAGATACTATTTACTACCCCCATTTTAGAGCTGGGAAAGTCAGGCAAAAAAAGAAATACCTTGCCCAAGATTATACACAAGTATCAGAGCTGGGATACGATCTGCACTCTTAACTACTCCATATGCCTCTTAAAATTACTGAATTATCCTTTATCACATTGGTTTTCATGTTGGAGGTAGATTATCACCAAATGTTGTAAGGAAGAGATTTTTATTCTAGTTATATTAGTTAGAAATAAATATCATTTTTAAGAGATTTTAAATGTGAGGTGATATTTATTCTGAAGTTTTGATCACATGCCTTTGGGAAAACTAATAGGAAAATAGATTGATGCATGAATTTGGAAGTTATGTTCAAGGCAAGATCCTGATGGTGTTTGGTATTTGCCTAGAGAGCATATGTATAATTACATAATTTCTGGTCTTCTCTGTACTTGTGAAATACTTTGGACCTGCTTTACTTTGGAGTACACTGTTCCTCTGGCAGGGTTTTTTTTATTGGCCTTTATTCAGTCATTAAATATTAACTGAGTATTAGCTATGAATAAGGCTTTATATTCAGCCCTAGAGAATACAAAGAAAAACAATAGAAAGGCCCAGCTCTGAACAGAATTTATAATCTAATTGGAAGGATATGTTTTCATTAGAAAAGGCAGTGGGGGTTCCAGTAAGGATGTGAGAAATGCTTTGAGACTGGAGCAGAGTTTTGGAATTTCACTCAGGAGTGGGTACTTTGAGCTCAGATGTGGAATGTAAAGGGCAAGTGGCAGGGGAAGAGAAAGGTTGGGTTTAGGGTACTCATTTCTGAGGAAGAAAGCAGGAAGGTCAATAATGGAAAGAACATTGCAAAAGGACAAGATGTATTTAACACAGCAAGGGGACCATTTTTTGCCCGGAAAAAAGGGCTCACACAGGGGATGAATAAGATGAGAAATGGAAGATCTTAAGATCCCAAGTTGTCAATGAAGGAACCACAAGTCAACCACAATGTAATATATGTGCAGGCTACCACGGGAAGTTGAATTGAAAGCTATGTTAGAGTTCAGGGAAGGAGGTGAAGTTTTGATACCACTAACTTAACCTACCTTGTTTGAGATCCAACAGAGCACCATTAAAAAGTAGCCTGCAGACACATACTCAAGCTTGATGCAATGATCACTGCTAGTTTCATTAGTAGAAAATTCTTCATCAGTCAGTTTTTAAAACTAAAATGTAATTTACATTCAGTAAAATTTACCCCTTTGGGGTGTGGTTCTATGAGTTTCAGAAGTCATAACTATTACTGCAACATGATGGAACTGTTCTATATCTTTATTAGAATAGTTATACAACTATTCTGTGCCCCTCTTTAATCAATTCTCTCCTTTCCTCTAGCCCCTGAAACCACTGATTTTCTTTCCCTGATACTTGCCTTTTCTAGAATGTCATATTGATGGAATTGTATTGTAGCAGCCTTTGAGTCTTGCTGTTCACCCTCAACAAAATGCATTTGAGATTCATCCATGTTGTTGAATGCACCAGTAGTCATTACTTTTGATTGTCTCAGGCATTTCCAATTTACCTCTGGCCTGTCATGGTTATAGCATCAGAGTTCAATTTCATACTACTTGCACAACTTGGTATTTCCTTCTGCTTCCCCCAACCTCCCAGTCTTTTCACTCCCTGGCTACTTCCCTATCTCTCTCCTTCCCTCCACAGCCAAAATTTTTAGAGATTATCTATACTCCCTCCCTCCCTTCTATTTCTTCACCTCCTACATCCTCACTTCAAAGCAATCTGGCCTCCGCCCCCACCTCTCTAAGTCAAGCTGCTCTTGCCAAGAACACCTCCTTGTTGATAAATTCCATGAGCACTTCAGTCTTTATCTAATTCGGCTTCTTAGCAGTGTTTGACAGTGGTGAACATCTCCTTCCTAAACATTCTTTCTTCTTGGTTATGGTAGCACTAAACTCTCAGGATTCTCCCTACCCCTCTGGCATATCCTCCATAGTACAGGCAAGCTCCTCTTCCTGTGTCCATTCGCAAGTGTTGGTGATGCCCAGAAAGATTCTGCTCCTCTCTTCTCTGCTGTAGGTTCTCTCTGCGCCACATCATCCACTGTTATATTATCATAGTATATCCCTGGAACTCTGTCCTCGATCTTTTGCAAGAGCCTCAGATCAACTGCTATATAACTTTTGGATATTCTGAAAGTGCCTTGTCCTAAACATGCTTACACCTCATCATCCCCACACCACCCCAAACAGATCCTTCTCCTGCTCTCCCCATTGCTGCCATCCAATCTTGTGTCTAAGCTGGAAACCTCGGAATGATCCTTGGCTCATGCATCTCACCCTCAAAATCTAACTGATTTTCAAGTTCTAGTGATTCTGCATTTTAAATATCTCTAAAAACTACATACTTAATACAGCATTGACCCTCATCCAGATCATCACCTTCTCTCGCCTGGTTTATTACAGCAAACTCTTATTTCAAATTTTATTTGGAATCTCCACATAACAACTAAAGCTATTGCCCCAAACACAAATATGATTCTTCCATTCCCCTGTCCTACACATTTAAATGGCTTCCTTAGAGCCAAGTCCAAACTCTGTAAATGTGTCACATAAAGTCCATTATGATCCGAGCCTTGTTTATCTCTGTTTATTCATTCATTTATTCAACACATCTTTATGGAGCACTATTATGTGCAGACTCTGTGGTAGTCACTTGGGATCAGTGAGCAAAAAGATCTACTTGTATGGAGATTATGTAGGATACAGTAAATAACAGTATATTAGAGGGTGATAAGTGCTTTGTAAAAAGGAAGAGTAGGAAAGGTTAAAGGGGATTGATAGAGGTAATGGTTAGATTTTAATTTTGGGTAAGGGAGGCAGGATTGCTGTTGAGACAGTGACTTCTGATTTAAGCTTTGAAATAAGTGAGAGATTCGGTTATGAGGATATTTTGAAAAACGTTCTAGGCAGAGGGCACAGACAGTGCAGAGACCCCAGTATGGGAACATCCCTCATGTAGTTAAGAGCAGCAAGGAGGCCAGGGTGGCAGGAGCAGAGTCGGCCAGAAGGAAAGTACTCCCAGATGAGACTAGAGAAAAAATGAAACCAGGAGAAGCAGATCATAAAGGATCATTTTATGTCTTTGTAAGGACCTCAGGTTTTACTCTGAAAGAAATAGGGAGCCATCAGATGTATTTGAGTAGAGGAATGGCCATGGCTTAAGTTTAGGAGGATCATTCTGGCTGCAAGGTTGATAGCAGACTGCATAGGGAAGGGTACACGCAGAGAGAAAACTACTTCAGCATTCCTGTTTTATTTCCTCTCCGTTTCTCAAAAATCCATGTTCTAACCAAACCAAATGTACTTGATTTTTCAGATGTGCCATAGGATCCGAATTTTTAATGTTTTTTAATTTTACTTTTGGTCTCTGTTACTTCTGTCACTTCCATCTAGAACCTCCCTAAACTTTACTTGGTTTACTCTACTCTTATTCTATGTAACAAGTTAGATTATCAGTGTCTCTAAGAAATCAGCCTTAACCTTGCAAATCTAAGATGGCACCCCTCCATTAGTGCCATCAACATCTACATTACTGTCATAGTTCTTTTCGTCTGAACTATAGTTGCGTGTTTAAATCTCCCAGTGCCCAGACGTTGTAATGGTAGAGTCCATGTTTCTAACATCCTCTCAATACCTGGCTATGGTGGATACTCAATTTGGGTTGTGGTTGAATCTCCAGGTGTGTGAATGGAGGCCTCCTGAGCAACTGAAACAGCTTCTTGATTTGGAGATGAGAGACTCAGGCGAGCCACCCCATAGACTATTGGAACTCTGTCGGGATGTCATACGCTACAGCGTCAAAACTAGTAAGAACTTTAATTTACTTCCTTGATCTGTACCTCTGACAAGTTCTTATGTTTGTAAAGCATTTATTTACCTCTCAAAGCTGAGTATAGCGATATTTATGGAATGAGAAATCTGGATTAAAAAATTAGTGTTTCTGACGTTTTTGCAATGGTCCCTTTAATCCCTAATCCAGATCCACTGCGAAGGCCAAAGATAAGTTGATAGGAAAACTGTTGATGTTAGTGTTTGTATGTAAATATCCTCTTCTCCTTGCCAACCCCCACATACTATTTGTAATCGAGATCACATATTATCACTGTTACTTATTTCTTATGTTAGACCAAAGTGGCAAATAGTATTTTAATGATATATGTTCGTTAAGGGATTTTAAGTCTTGATGGCCCAGAGTATGCAAAAAAACGTGTTCAAAAGGTATCTTTAATATAAATAGAAATAGATTTGGAAGACACTGATTAACTCTTAGCAGTTGGTAACTGCCAAACTATTTGATCAAATCTGGCAGTATCAAAAAATAAAAATAAAAAATAAAAGCCCTTAGATGGATATAAGACAAACGAATACATTCCAAGTTTTTGATGAGATTATTTCACAGTGATGTCATAACTGTGAACTTTCTACATGCAGTGATTGGACGTCAGTCTTACACTGAGGCGCATTCCAACTTACCTGTTAATATCCTGTTCATCCAGTGAACAAGTTTCAAAAATGGGAGAATAATCTTCCAAAATATTTCTCAGTGTAATGTAAAGGTAATCCAGTGCTTAAGACCATACAGGCATTACTTTGTAAATTCTGACACTGGACTAAATTTAGTGGAAAGAACATAATAAAATTCTGGCTAAAAACAATTGGAGTATATTCCCTTGGGAAAGTCTAGTGTATGTATCAAAAACCCAGTTAGCATTTCAAAAGCAGAGATATTTATCTTATTATTATAGTGCATGTCAAAAGTGTAGAATGACATTTAATGCAGTAGATTTTTCAGTTTACTGGATATTTTCCATGTTACCATGGAAATCAATCATAAATTAACACAGAACTAAAAAAAAGTATTAAAATTACTTGTAGCAGTGCCTGTTTGTTTTCTTTTTTTTGCCAGATCAGAGGAAGTTTTCCACGTTTAAGCTGAAAAGACATTTTCTTTTGAGACTTGTTTTTTATTGAACCCCTAGTTTAAAGAGAAAAAAAAAAAAAACTAAAATAAATTAAAGCCAGATGCTGTAAGTTGTAATGAGAGGTCACCAAATTAAATGATTCCCAAATACTCAAATGTAGAAATAGACCTCCTGCCTATTTATTCTGTCATGCTGAGCTTCCTGTGATTGAGAATGTCAAGCCAGTTAGCCAGGTGTATGGTGTGATTATTCACATGGTATAAAGCCAAGAACCTTTATGAGACCTTTTATAGGAGGGGAAAAAATTAAAACTGGAACAAGATGTTGTTTGTCTCTTAAAGGCAATTGCATTTGAAGCAAATTGAATCAGAAGTGTACATAAGCCGCATAGTGAGTCACATCTTACTCCATCTACATACCGCCAGTCGCATGGGTACAATCTGAAAAATGAAAAGGCTGCTCAGTGCCATAGCCTGGGGTGAACTCTGTTGTAAGTGAAATGTATATGAAGTGAGAAGTTAATATTGATATTTTCAGAGAAAAAGGCAGTACCCTGTGATCCTTGGACAAACAGTGTTCAAATAATTATTTAAAGGGTTCTGGTTTGGGTCTGGGTTGTAAAAAAGAGGAGCAAGTAAATCAAAGCTCTTAAAAGACAACTCATATTTTACTTAGAAACATTGATCAGCAGAAAGGGCTCCGAGATGAGTCTTCAACATGTTCTTCCTTGTACATGATCCTGTTTTGGATTTTTTTGAGAATGGGGTATAATTATATTCAGTAAAATGCACAAATCATAATTGCTTGGCATGATGAATTTGTACCTAGCTGTGCATATGGAGCCATCACCTGGATCTAGATATAGACCAATTCTAGCACTCCAGAGGCTCTCTGAAGTCCCTTCCCAATCCATAATTCTTTCCACAAAGTACCTAGAATTCTAACCATCATCTCCTTAGCTTTGTTGATTTTGAACGCCGTATCAATGGAATTATGTTATATATAATTCTTGTGTGTCTTTAATTTTCTGAAAGATTCAGTTATGTTAATGCTGTATCAGTTTTTTTTTATTGCTGCATAGATGAATACTCCGTTTTAAATTTGCAGACCACCCAAGATTTTTCAACCAATTGTATGCTGGACTTGATTACTACTCCTTGGTGGCCCGATTTATGACTGAAGCATTGAATCCAAGTGTGTAAGTGCCATGCTATAGAAATTTCACACCAAATGTGGATTAGAGACTTTTTAGATGACATTTTATTTCAAAATTTTCTATTTAATGGTTTCTTTTGCATAGTGCCATCGCAAATAATGGAATAGTTTTATGATACTTATCAGATTCAAATAGCTGTTTGATTTAAATAGTGGTACTGTGAGATGGAAAAGGCAATTATTATCTCCACTTAACAGATGAGAAAATGGAGTGGGCAATTTTTTATTTGTTCCTGCATGAAAAGCCATTTTCTATGCTAAGTGATGGAGAGACAAATTGAACAAATAAACCTTGACTCTGCCCTCATAGAGCATAATATCTGGTATAAAAATGCTAATCGAAGTGGTCCACAAAAATTCATGTAAAATCCAAACTCTCATCTGAAGGAAAAGTACAAAGTGTTCTAACTATTAATACGAATGGGGCAATTCTTCCTAGTTGGAAGCTCAGGAAAGTGTGCTCTGCAGAGGTGACAGTAGGCACTGAAGAATAAGTGTTATTAAGTAATACGGTGAGGGATGAGTTCTAAATAGACAGAATGACGTGTATAAAGGCTCTGTGGTAGGACACAGCATGCCATTCTCTATGAACTGGAAGGTCAGTGTGGGTATAGCTGAGAGAGTTACAAGGACTGTAGTGGAGAATAAGACTAGAGAAAGAGAGAGAAAGACAGGAGCCAGATATACAGGGCGCAGGTGACCATGTTTATGAGTCATTCTAAATTTAACAAAAAGCCATTGAGGGTTTCTAAATCACTAGGTGCCATTTGCTTATTGAAAATATCTCTAAAAGTATAAATAGGTTGGAGAGGACCCGTTAGGAGGGCATTACTTAGTCAAGTGAGAGAGGAAAGTAGCTTGGACTTGAAGAAGTAGGAATAGAGCGGGAAAGAATGAGTTCAGAAAATAAAACAGAAAGGACGGGATACACATCTTGGAAATAATGGTAGGATGGAGAAGGTTTCTGGGACAATGGCTGGGTTTCTGGCTTTCATAGCTGGGTACATGGTCATATCATTCATAGAAATAAGAAGCACTGGGAGAGGGAACTGGTTTTCAAGTACATGGTGAAGGAGGCAAGGGCAAGCAATCCATTTTCAGTTGTGGGCATTTGAGTTTGCAGTGACTTTAAAATACCCAAGAATACATAGGAACTAAGCTGAGAAATATATGGGCCTGGAATTCTGATGTCTATATGAAAGGTATAAATTTAAGAATTATCAGTGAAATGATGGTAATTGAAATGGTGGACGTGGATGAGATTTCCTATGTCAGTGATTCAACACCCTGACTATTCATGAGAACCACTTGAGAATTTTATAAAAATGTATTGATACCTGGGTACCAACCCAGGCCAATTAAATCTGAATTTCTGTGGCTGTGCCCCATGCATTGATATATTTACAAAGTTCAACAAATGATTTCAATGGGAAGCCAAGATAAAGAACCGCTGCCCAGGGGACAGAGCATAGAGTGGGGAGAGAAGAGGGCTCAAGACTGGGCGTTGAGGACATCTAACCTTTAATGGTTAGGAAGAACAGGGTCAGCTTACAATGGCGAGAATAGAAAGAAAAAACTAAAAGGCTAGCTGTGGCAGCCATGAGGAGAGTGTGCCTAGTGTCACATGTTGTTGAATATTCAACTAAGAGCCTAAACAGCGTCCACTGGATCAGCTACATGGACGTCACTGGCAACTTTAGGGATGTTTTGTTGGAGAGATGAGAGCAGATACCAGGTTACAATTAGTTACACAGTGAGGGTAAGTCAGAAGAGACAGTAAAATTACATACCTTTCTCAATCTTTTCTTGTATATGCCAGGTTTTCTAACTCTTCATCTAAGTTCAAAAATCTCTAAATATTTCAGATTAAAGAAGTGTTAAATTGCTGCTAAGCTAAACCATCCACTCAAAATATGCCAGCCCACGAGTGTGTTCTATCTTGTCTTCCCCTCCACCTCCAGGCTGATTCCTAGGTTTATAATTGAGCCAGTTTTCAAAGACAGGCTTAATACTTTTATTATGAAAAAGTGAATAACTATTTTATATATATTTGTAGGTTCACATAAATATATATGCTTTCTTTTCACACTTTTGGTGTATGTACACTGGTTTCATAACATGGTTGAAAAACAGAATCTTTTTTTTTTTTTTGAGACAGAGTCTTGCTCTGTTGTCCAGACTGGAGTGCAGTGGCACAATCTCGGCTTACTGCAACCTCTGCCTCCCAGGTTCAAATGATTATCTGCCTCAGTCCCCTGAGTACCTGGGATTACAGGCCCCCGCCACCATGTGGCGCTAATTTTTGTAGTTTTAGTAGAGATGGGGTTTCACCATCTTGACCAGGCTGGTCTTGAACTCCTGACCTCATGATCCACCCATCTCAGACTCCCAAAGTGCTGGGATTACAGGTGTGAGCCACCTCACCCAGCCGAATCTATATTTGTAAGATGGCATAATGTCTGTAGAGTTGACACATATGTAGGTGATAAATAGTAGGTGATACATAGATGACCAACTTTTATGCCTCAATCCCAAAGTTTTCCTTTCCAGATGTTAAAATAATTGCATTAAATTCTGTGACTATAAATCTAAATGTGTCTGCTTACACATTTAGAGTACACATTTATTCAGATACAATTTAATGTAATCCCTTAATTGAGAAGGAGATCATAGATATATAGTCACCGTCAAGTTGTCTGGAGATAGAGAAAATACTCAAACACTACCAAACAAGGCATGATGACTGTTGCAATGTGGGTTCCCAGGAATGCTGCTCTAGATGGTGTTTAGTGAGCGGGATGTTTATTAAGGATTACCCTTGGGATCAACATGAGTGACCTGGGGAGGAGGAGGAGGATGCAAGAAAGGGCAGGGATAGGAGGCAAGTTGCCATGCAGCCTCCATGGCAATCTTGGCTGATGCTCGGAGATCTCTGGAACTACAGTGGCCCTTCAAGACTGGTCTGCAGTTGGGCCCAGACAGCCAGGCCTTTACATCTCCACCAGTCATCTGATGTAGACCATCACAAGAAGGGGTGTGACCCTGGAGGAGGTAGCTCCCTGCAGCTGAGGCAATCTCTAAAGGGGCTAAAACAGCAATGCTCTGAGACAACAGCATTCCAGCCCGAGCAACAAATCCTACACTGACAAGGGATTTGGGTAGTGCTTTGCAGTAAAATTATCACGTAAGAGATGTCTCACAGAACACTCCTCATTTATACAGAGAGTGTAGAGGAAACCCTGGTTCAGGTGGAGTAGTCTCCACTTAGAATATCTAGAGGGGACTGTTAGCGTACTCACGATAGTAATCTGATAAAACCTGGTTACCATGACAATGAATTTTCTTTGACCATCAACAGCATCCAAGGCAGTATTCCAAGCATCCAAAGAGTGAAATGGCCACTGCCCATGGCTAATACATAAGATGCAAATGCATTGTCTTTATCTCTCCTCATGGAATTGAGGTTTTTCTAGAAAGTAAGACTGCTGCAGCAGCTTGCAGATCCCTAAGGCCACAAGCTATTGGCACTTATCTAACCATGACTAGTGCTGTCACTAATGGAGTAATTCTCTATTTTCAATGGATAAATTTCCAAAGACTGCCTACACTTCAGCAGCCACTTGGTTTAATAGAACTCTGTGTGCATTTCTTGGGACACCAAAGGAATGTTTTGACTCTAGTCATAGAAGTGAAGTGTTTTTTATATCCATCTAGTTATACGTATGAGGTGTCCCCAGTGTTTCTGTTAGTGGAAGAAGCGGTTCTGAAGAAAATGATTGAATTTATTGGCTGGAAAGAAGGGGATGGAATATTTAACCCAGGTGAGTACAATTAGTTATTGATATCAATCTTCCAATACAAACACATAAAAATTTACCTATATGAGGAACAACTCCTTGCAGATTTATACATGACAAAAAGTTGGATATTAATAATTCTACTTGCTAAGAATCTAGCTTATGCCTTTCTCCAGAGTGATCACATTTTGTATTAATGCTAAATAAGTGACATACATACTTCATGAATGAGATGCCTACAATTTAGGATTCATATCTAACAAATGAATTGATCAGTTGCTGGAAGTTTGGAAAGGCTGTAAGTCCTCTAAATTTTAAAATCAAATTTTACTTGAGAAGATTTCTGAATTACATTTGTTTATCCTGTAGTCCTTTTTTGGAGCCAGAGACCAACAGATATTATTTCAATTTTATTGATTAGGTGACAGAAAGAATATTAACTATGGAGACCTAGGTACTGACTCTAAGTCCAGAGCTGACAGATTGAGACTTTTGGTTTGAAAAAAACCCTGTCATGAAAATACACCAAAATTTATCTTTTTTTCTAAGAATAAAAGTTCTGGAATTAGAGATTAGGGTATGCAATAAAATCTTCAGAGTAGTGGGAGCAGGGAGGTCGCTGCTCATGTGCTTTTCACAGTGATTTTTCATTAGACTAGGGCAGCCATGGCCATCCATGCTTTCCACTGTATTCAGCATTTTGTGAGCTACAACTTCATGCTACAAATATGCCATTTTAATTTTGTTTTTGCAGGTGGCTCAGTGTCCAATATGTATGCAATGAATTTAGCTAGATACAAATATTGTCCTGATATTAAGGAAAAGGGGCTGTCTGGTTCGCCAAGATTAATCCTTTTCACATCTGCAGAGGTAAAAATTATTTTTTGTGTTGAATATAGATTTTCTGAGAATGCATTTTAAGAGGGCTTGTTTGAGGACTCCTGATGCGATTTTGTCCTATACCCATGTGACTGATATGCTGCAGTATAACATAGTATTTCATTCCAAAGTAAATTCTAAGGAGTTTGATGTTGTAACGCTTGGTCCAATTGTGTGTAATTACCTTTATTTAAAGTGTATAGTCTGTAAAAACATTTTAAGAAAAGAATATTTAATTTGAAAGTGCTATCTCTGTGAATCTCTTTTGAGTGTCTTATTTGTCAGTATTTAGATGAACACTACAGATCTCAGCTATGTCTTCTACTCACATTTCCTTGTAAAATGATTGCTTTGATTGGCTAATATAAGGGATGTGTATCTTTTCCAGGGAAAAGGAAGATATACAGTAACAATGAAAACACACACACACACACACGCAGAAAGAGAGAGAGAGAGAGAGAGAGAGAGAGAGAGAGAGAGAGAGAGAGAGAGAGAGATTTTGCGGTGGCAAAAGAGATTGTGTTCTCAATCTCTTATATTTTACTCTCTACTCAAGTAGGAAGTCAGATGGTGGATAAGTGCATTGGCTTTGAGTTAGGCTGCCTGGATTCAGTCCCTGCCTCTGCCACTTACTATCTGAGTAACCTTGAATGAGTTAATTTCTCTGAGCCTCAGTTTCCTAAATTTGTAAAAATAAGTTTATCGTTTAGCTCTTATAACCAACAAATCACCCCAAATATACAGTTATCATTCCATAACTGTATATTATCTCTTGTAAGTCTCAAGGTAGCTGGGCAAATTTGCTGCTCTTGGCTGGGCCCCCTTCCACGTCTAGGGGTTGGCTGACTGATGGCCCATCTATGAGTGGCTCAGCCTGGATGATTCCAGCAATGCCTCTCTGCTCCATATGTCTCTCATTCTCCAGGTCAGTCTAGGTGTGTCCTCATGGCAATGGCGCAGGTATAAAAGGGCATGGCAACACATCAGGTCTCTTGAGTCTTAGCCTCGGAACCGGCCATTGTTACTTCTGCCTCATTTTCTTGGCAAAGTCCCATCTGTGAGCCCAGATCCAAGATGTGGGAAGACAGACCCCACCTCATGGGGAGACTTGCCGTAAAGTCACCAGGCAGAGGATTTGAATACATGGAACAGAGTACCACTGGAACCACTAGAACAATCCAGCAACCACGTGGTAGTTGATTAGTGAGTTTTGGCAAATGTTAAATGAGTAATTGCATGTAAAGTAGCATCTGGGACATAATAGATTTTTTTAAATATTAAATATAATTGTTACTAGGAGAATGACCCAGCTACAACAAGGTGGGCAGAAGTAGATGGCACAGCTTAAGTGCATCCTTTATATGGAAGAGACTTTTTCCCTTTCCTGTTCTTGTGTGACTCCAGTGGATGCCTCTGTCTATTCTACCACTGCTTCATCACCCAGGTTCTTGGCAGAATGAGTTTAGCTTCTTACCTTCTGAGGTAATACCAGGTATCCTGTCACTAACATGAAGTGGGCAAAATAAAAAACTGAGGGTTTGTTATTTCCAGCTGGGCTTTCCTGTATCTATCATTTTCTTCTAAATACAAAAGTTAGTTTCTTATTGCAAAAGGACCAATTGTGCACTAATTTCTCCTCAGTAGGAGAAAATATGACCACTCTCATGTTTTCCTCTTGCCCTGTCTGACCTTTGCTCTGGTTCTTTCAGCACTAAGTGCAAAGTGGGAGTTGAGTGATGGGAGGCAACTGGGAGGAATCATCTAGCGCCTGAGATTCTTAACTCAGCCATTCGAGGCTCTTGTTCATAAGACATTCTTTCTGTACCAAGAGAAGAATGTTTGGTAATATGGACAGCTGGAAAAAAGTACCTGATTATTTGGGATTATTATGGAATAGAGTTTCCTTCTTCATGCTTCAGCCCTGGATATTTCAATGTGAGGGACCCCAGTGGATCATAAATGCAGAGTCTCTTCTGCATTCAAACTGCTATTTCCAAGCATGGGAAAGCTGATTAAATGGCACCCTGGTTATCAGCTCAGGTTTTTCACTTTTGCCTTTTTCATTCTTTATTTGGTTTAAAGCTTGCTGGAGTTCTTCTGGAATAATTACCATGGAAAGGGGAAAGATATTATATGGAAGCCTAGAATAAAGATGATGCCTGGGAAAGATCACTAACAGGTGGGGCTTGTGAATTGGGAGTGAAAAGAAAGTGAAACCTTATGTAGTTGTGAAACCAGAACTAAGTGGTTTTCAAAAATTTTCCAAATAGAGGCAAAATATATGCCTTGGCTAACATGCCAGCAGAAGTTGGAGCCAGCAAAACCAAGAACTAGGTGTGAATTCCACAGAAAAATTACATCACTTCGAGCACACTGTAACCTGGAATTTATATTTTCACTCCATTGGTTGAAACATTACTTTGCAGCTCATTCCTTTCCCTGCTCTCTCGAAGAGTCTAGTTATAGCATTTGCACTATTTTAATTCATATTTTATTGACTGCCTTTACTGCTTATTACAACAAATCAGTCTATTTCATTAAAGAATTAAAGAAGGTTGTGTTTACTAAACAGTCTTAAACTCTGCGTTAGTTTTTTTGCTATATCTCCCTTATTTCCTTTTAGGGGTTTGGTCCATGGCCCAGTACTGTTCTATTAGGTGATCTTTTCCAGTTTTTGTGCTACCCCAAATTACTCCATCTCTGTCTTGCACCATCAAGTGCAGAATATACGTACCCACCACTGAAGGTGTTTTTGCATGCGTTAGGCTTTTATTTTAATTCTACTATTGATAGAGACCTGCAAGATCACGACAAAAACCTCTGCACTATCAGTATATCCAAGGTTGCCTATCTAGTGCTAAATGGGAATCTAAGAGAAGGGAACTTTTGGAGAAATAAAAGTAATAAATCTATGACTTGGTTTGTACTTTGATATAAATTCCATGGGTGTATAGAAATCCCAAGTTTGTAAAGTTCCTGTATATTTCAGATCACTTCTGGAATTAGCATAAAGTAGTGATCATGATTTGCCACTAAAAAGCAAGGGTGAAAAAGAAACTCTTACCTCCCAGGCCAGTAATCAATGGCCTAGCTCCTCTCTAGCAGGGCTTGGGCTAGGAGAAGCAAGTGAGGTAGGTATCTAGGGTGTGTCTCAGTGTCATGCCTCTAAATTGTGCACCCTAAGGTGCCTCCTTCACTTCCTCCTGATCGCTGAGTGAGAGCTGAGGTTGAGTTGCGATGGGATGTGATTGCAGGTCTTCTCCACAGGCAAGCAGGTGCTTCGTAGGACATCTCGCAGAGCATGAGTCTGGGTTCAGTCTATCTGGCTTCTGGTTCTGGCCTCTTTGGGAATTAAACCAGCTGTGTGTTCTTAGAGACATCCCCTGGAAACTCTTTTTCTTCATTCTCTAAAATGTAACATTTATATACCCCGTTCTCTCTACCAGCTAACTTGAGAATCAAATTAGTCAGCATTGGAGTCCAGGTGTCCAGGGCACAGTGTACACTGAGGAGAAAGCAGCAGTTCATTGAGCAGCTCAAGGTCATAGAAAAAAAATCCTTGTGGGAGCCAGAAAGTAAAACTCCTGCTCAATGCTGTCTTTCATGTAGGCACTTGCCATTTTATCTTTATAGAAAGGAACACCCACTGAGAGTTTTTTCGTCTTCTGTAGATTTATGAAACCTATGGGGAGGTTGGGTCTTAGAACAACCGACTTATCTTTTGCCAGTGATAGAAACAGCCACTGTTTGTTTCTAAATGCAGTTGTTACTTTTGAATTCCAGCCTTCTAGGTTTTTCCTTTCCTTGAAACTACTCAGCATGTCTGAAGCATCACCTTCTTTTGTTCCCCTTCCAGGACTCTTCCTTCTCTGAAGCTTTCAGATATTTAAACTTCAGTTTTGCAGATTTTTTTTGATCTGTCTATCTCAGATTGACATTGGGTTGTATTTTGCACTGAGGTACTTAAAGAGAGCTCCACTATTCTTATTCTGATTACAAGTTTTTTATTCAGCAGATTCATTGGTTGGAGATATTTTGCTATTTCTCAGGGGGAGAGCATTGTGATTTTCCTTATAGGTAGATATCAGTGGGATAGACTAGCATTTATCATTATGAAATCAATAGCTGTTTGGTTGCCAGAGCCCAACTCTCTGGTGAGAAATAACTCACCCGAGCTATGTCACCTTAGCTATGGCAGGCAGGTTACCACCAACCAGCATAGGCTGGTGGAGCAAGTAGAGAATTAATTACACTTTCATGTACATCATTACTCTTCAGTATGCATATGGTCTTGTAACAACCTGAAATAAAAGCATCCTATAGGCATTTTGGACAGGTCCTATTTGATATTTGGAAATTAATTATTTAGGACTGTTTCATTGTTCCTGATGTTACTTCTCCATTTATTTTTACAGCGTTAAAAAAAGAGCTCCCAATAAAACTCTCGACAAAAGAAGGAAAAAAAATTACCACATTTGAGGGAATATATCAAGTGAAGTGTGAAGGCATGACTACTCTTTTAATGTATTCATACCTACAAATTACTAAGATTTTCTTTGGTACAATGATGTCCTTTAGCACCCTCATTTTTCTGGGATGAAAAAGAATTAATTGACCACCTGTCCTCACTAATGTATGAAAAGCGACATATTCATTGTTTGCATGCTAATTATTTTATGGGCTTCATGTAGTAGAGAAGGCCCAATAATGTAAAGCACACACTACTATTTATCAATATGAAATAGACCAGACTTAATTCCATATTCACCTGTTAGCCTCACTCATGCCATAGCTGAGTAGGTTTGTCTATTAGTACTCTCGTTCTTATGATTTTAGCCACATTCTTGTGTGTTTAATTTCAGTCTTGTGTTCAGTATTAAACCAGATTGGTCAAGTGTCTGATCAGCACCTACAACTCATTGTTTGCTCTAAGAAATAATTAAATTCCTCTCTAGCCTGTGATTGCAATCTTTGAAATAGAGTCATGCCCTCTCCTTAGAGGGTTTCAAAGTCAGCAGTGGACTAGATTCTAAATTTCCATTAATACTAAGTCTTAGGGGTAGCATCAGGAGAAACTTTACTTTTCTCAATGGGATGGAAATAAACAGCCTCCAGTGTCCTGGTTTGTTCCATGTGCCAGGCTCTGTGCTAAGCCCTTTACATATATTATTAACCCACTTATCACAAGCAGATGGAGTAGGCATTATTGGCATGATCCCTTTAAAGATTAGGAAATTGAGGCTTGGAGAGTGTATATTATTTATTCAAGATTCCATAGCTGTAACTGGAATACTTGACATTAAATCTTGGTTTCTCTGACCCCAAAGTGGATGTTCTCAACCACTATGCTAAGGAGCTCAATTAAATTACTTTTTTATGCAATGATGTCCCAAAGACTATGCTCAGCCATACTGACTTTCATCTGCCTCTGATAATAAGCAATGCTTTTCTTGTGCCATGTATTCATGTCTCTCCATTCCCCACTGTCCCTTTTAATTCAGTGTCATTACTCCATGAAGAAGGCAGCCTCTTTTCTTGGGATTGGCACTGAGAATGTTTGCTTTGTGGAAACAGATGGAAGGTAATGGGGACAGGATCCGGAAGCCTGGTGGGTGGAGGGAAAAATTCATACGGTTTATAAAGCAGTATCATTGTCTGTTAACTACAAAACATAACTGAAAGTCTCAAATCTTTGTCCCTTAGAGGTAAAATGATACCGGAGGAACTGGAGAAGCAAGTCTGGCAAGCCAGAAAAGAGGTGAGAGGGGAGAAAGCAAGAGGGAGAGTTAACGTGTGTGTGCGCACGCGTGCGCTTATGAGAGAGACAGAATAGCAAGGAGAGAATGCAAACAGCCAAAACCATTTCTGTGTGTGGGAGAGAGAAGAGAGCATGTTGGAATTAAAATAGGAAAACTCATTTACAGATGTTCTATTTCCAAGTGCTTGGCTCTCCATGTTCTGTGGAGTTTCCCGGATATTCATGTTCCCAGGTAGCTGGAGCCTATTAAAACAATGAAATCACCCGTATGCAGGATTCTTGGCTAGAAGAAGCTCTAAGGATGAACCCAGTCTCTCCAGCAGGGCCCCAGCATCTCCTCTCCTTATAACTCCTCCCTCTGAGAAATCTGCAGGACAAACCGATTTTCTCTGGGCTGCATTCAGGGTGATTCCTGATTTCTTGACCAACCTATTCTCCCAGGTTGCTTCCAACCCAAAAACCCATCTATTACTATCACCCCCCTGTTGGGTCTGTATCTAGTAGTTCAGTGGCAGAATGTCCTTTCTTCCTTAGCTGCTAGAACATATTGAAACTGAAATATTGGAGAAAGCAAGGCATGGCTCTGTGCACCTGCTATGGCTCCAGCCAAGGCTGGCCTTAACACCTGCATTTTAAAAAGGGATGTCATTAGGCCAGGTGCAGTGGCTCACACCTGTAATCTCAACACTTCGGGAGGCTGAGGCGGGCAGATTATGAGGTCAGGAGATCCAACCCATCTTGGCCAATACAGTGAAACCCGGTCTCTATAACAACACACAAAAAATCGCCAGGCCTGGTGGCACATGCCTGTAATCCCAGCTACTCGGGAGACTAAGGCAGGAGAATCGCTTGAACCCAGGAGGCGGAGGTTGCAGTGAGCTGAGATCACACCAGTGCACTGCAGCCTGAGCGACAGAGTAAGACTCCATCTCAAAAAAAAAAAAAGAAAAGAAAAGTATCATTATTTTGGTGTCAGCCATTTTGCTTTTTGGACCAAAAGCCTGCTAGATCTTCTGCTGCTTCTCTCCCATCCCACCGCTGCCTGCTAATGGAGCTTGAGTCTATTCTCCAGTAACTTTCCAATAGGTAGCAACAAAGTCAGGCATGACTACTGAAAAATAAAAAGCCTGGCTCCTGAGCTGGGATACATGTGTATCTATCCTCATAGGAGTTCATCCTCTAACAAGGATGGGTTTTTAAATGTTTTTAAGTTCAAATATTACAGTTCTGTTATTGTACTTTTTTTTTCAAGTTTTCATAAAAATCACCTAGCCCTGGGGAATGCTAGATCGCAATATTTGGCTTGAACTTCTGTATTTAAAATTTCTGCCATTATTGCAGATGTATGACTTCAGGTATGTGTCCTTCATCTACATTTCTTTTTTAAACATTCCAATGACAAGTGAACTTGATTGTTATCTGATGGTTTACGTAATCAGATTTGACTCGGGTATAATTCTGAGTAACAACTTGTAAGTTCGTTCTGCTGAGAACTGCAGATATTTTCTAGTTTTAGTTTCTTTCTACACAAATTCCTATCAAAAATAATTTGCATATATTATTAATCTTGGTGGGGAATATTAATTGTGTCATGATTGTTTTTCTTCCCTCCCTATTTCTCCTTTCCTTCTTCCCTTTCTCCGTTCCCTATTCCCCACTTCTTAAACTTCTCATTACAAAAAATTGTAAATGTTTCCTAAAAAACCAACACACACACAAACCAAGAGACTAATATCATAAGCCTTCATATACCCATTCCGTAATCAACAGCCATTAGGCTCCTTTCTATTTCATCTGTACCACATTCCCTCATACCACCACTAGATTGGTTACCCTAGACATAATATCATTTGATCTATAAATAGTTGAGTATATTTATGAAGGATATATACTTGCTTTAAAAACATACCATAGTTTTGTTTAAAATATAATTTTTAATATCAAATCTTCGGTGTATATTAAAATTTCCCTCATTGCCCTTTTAAAAAAATAGTTGGCTTGTCTGAATTAAGGATTCGAATAAAGTTCACAAATTGCATTTTGTTGATATGTCAAATGTAAATGTTTTCTGATCTATGGCTTCCTCCTCCCTCCTCTGTCCCCCACTACCATTGATTTGTTGAAAAGATCAGGTCCTTTGTCCTGTAGGGCTTTCCACGTTATAGATTTTTGTGGATTACATCAAGAATTTGAGACCCTAAGTGCTCACCTCCTCTGCACCATCCGGTTTGTTCTTTTTATTTTCTGTAATTTGGCAGTTAGATCTTGAGACTCAATGAGATTTAGCTGTATCTTTCTTTTTTTTTAAAACCAGGGAGGCTTCATGGGTCCTGCCATCAGGAGACATCCTGCGTCTCTTTTTTGTAATAACATTGATTGGTGGCGTCTGGTATCGTCAGTCTATCCATCACAATATACCCTCCATCAGCTTCTCACTTGATGGATTTTGCTGCCATTGATGATCATCGTCTAGACCCATTATTTCATTAAGCGATGTCCTAATTCCTTCTCTCCTTCCTTATTGTCAGGCATTCTGCTATAAAGAAAAATATTCCTCATTTTGTTTCCCTAAGGAAACACTGCACGGCAAGACAGGATAGACATCCTATTCTTTCCCCTTATTTATCAATTTTTAAAATAGTGAGTTTGTTGCCTAGCATCCCCTAAAGATAATCCTTATTTTTTTTAGTGTCATTAAGAATTCATATTTCTAGCATAGAGGGTTTTATTCCACCACAGTCATTATCATTTTCGTCGCTCAAATTTTTGTTTGTTTTGACAGTGAAAGTACATGAAACGGACATAATACTAAAGTTGAGAACTCAAAAAAGTAAGTTTTTGAAAAGTAAAAATTGCTTTAGGCACATTTAAAAGTAGGGCAATGGGGTTAGAGTTGGTATGTCTCCTCAGTTTTCTTTCAAGTCAGCTAATACTTGAGCCTGGATTCACCAAGGACAAACCTTGCATCCATTCTGAGATAATATATGATGACTGGTTCATTTTTCTCAGTAGCTTCAGACCTAGTTGTTTTGTTTCAAGCTTTTAACTTGTGTTGTTTCAGATATAAGGAATAGTAGTACATCAACTATTTTTTCTGCTGGGATTCAATTCCCTGGCCTATGACAATCCATTGAAAAACTGTTGCACGGTGACCTTGTCTTGATGTCATTACAGAGATGGTGAAAACCACAAAGCATCATAGGTTCTAAAGGGCTTACTGACAAGCTCAAACTAGGATGAACACTGAATATTTAGAGACATTTTGTTAGAGTTATGAGTGTGAGAAATGACACATTTTCTTAGGCAATACAGCTCACTGGCAGCATGCAATCAATACTGTTTCTACTGAATTTTCTCATTAACAGCATGAGATATGGGGAAGAAAATCTAGAAGGTTAAATCCAGATTGCAAAAGTTTAATTTCTGGGCTTGTATTTATAGTGAGATCTTTTTAAAAAGCTGAGAAAAACTCATTAATAGACTCTAATAGCTTGCAAAGGTATTTTCTCATGCCTGTCAGGATGTCATATAGCTTATGAGGAAAAGCCCAACCATTAAAGACACCTTAAATGGTTTTAGAAAATTACTTTTTCTATTGCTTTTAATGATTTTAATGATTGATGTAAAGCTGGTCTTATTTCCTTTAGGTCAGTGGTATGATAAAGCCATAGTTGTCAGTAGTTTGAATACAGGGAAGAATTTTCAAAACCTTTGGCTTCTCCAGGGCTCTGTCACCTACTGACTTGGCTCTACAAGTTTTGGGTAGATGGAATTGATTCTATTTGCCACAGCTGTCTCCCAAGATGGCAAATGGATTTATTATATACCATCACTTTGATCTGTATGAGTCTCAATTTAGAGATGCAAACCATATATTCTTGCTCTGCCCCACTTTCCATTGAGAAATAACATGTTTCTGTCAAAAGTCAGTTAAATTGGAAAGAGTTTGGTTCAAACACAATAATCCCTGGCATAAAAGGACATAAAAATATGTTGCAATGAGCATGCACTTTATAAAACTGAGGGGAAAAAGTGGCTCCATGCTAAATGGAGAAAAAAAAAATTTTAGAGGCAGTAAACGACTTTTAGAGGCAGTAAACATTCTTGTCGCCATTTCTCAGGTGCTCTTGAATCTTAATATTCTAGTTGCTCCCCTCACCCCCACGTGTCTGCAAGTGTTCTTGCAGGGCACCTACACAGCGAACACATCTCTGCCACCATCCTGGAGCAATCCATGTGGAAACAACCTCATGTACTCTTCCTCGATCTGGTTGGCATCGAGTCCTTTAATGGGGACAAAGCGTGTGACTAGCTTGACCGAGATAACCATTCACTGTGTGTGTGCACCCACATTCTCCCTTTCCTTCTCTATTTCCCACCAGCGCCTGTTCACTCCACGAGATGCAGTCATCAGCTATGTGAGGAGGAATAACCACGATAGAAGTGATACAGATTTTCTTTTCCAGCACATGCCAATGGATTTCTCTGTTGCAGCACCTGTTTTGGAGAAGGTGTCTTAGTGAGGTTGCCTTATCTCCTCTGTTGCTGAATTTGTACCTGAGTATAATTCTACATTCTTTGTTTTATAACTGCACTTACTTTACAAGGAGACAAGCAAAGAGGCCTGCATGGTTTACTCCTGGAGCTCTGTTCGTATTCCAATTTTTTTTTTTTTTTTTTTTTTTTTTGAGAAGCCGACAGTGATGGCACAATTTTTTCAGGAAGAAATTAGGAGTCATACAAAATGTCAGTTTGCTGTTGCAGCTGAAGTTATTAAATTTCTATCTGGACAATTTAAAGAACAAAAAACATTACAAAAAGAACATGAGAATACTGAAGAATATTGAGAATACTGAAGATGTACACTTGATCTGTTTATAATGCCAAGAGACCACATATTGACAACATTTAAAAACACCCATTGAATTAGTGACTATCTCCAAAAAAACCATGTAACTCTCTGGATGCATAACCCTTTATATTTTCCAGCTATTACAGGACAAGCTTAGTGATGACGGTGATAATTCTTTGTGTTTTGGATCCTTCTTACAGGGGGCAGCACCGTTTCTTGTCTGTGCCACTTCTGGTACAACTGTGTTGGGAGCCTTTGACCCTCTGGATGAAATAGCAGACATCTGTGAGCGGCATGGCCTCTGGCTTCATGTAGATGTAAGTTCATCTATGTGTACATACGTGTTTAACCTTTGGTCTTTTTGTAGCCTTGGTATGACATTTTTCTTATTCTCAGAAACTAGATGTGGAGTCCCCAGTGCTTTTATTTGTTTTTCACATTGGGGAAAACAAGTATGCCGCTTTCTGTGAAGTATAAATGAGAAGATTCCAAGGCTTCGTAAATTTTTAGTTTTCTGGATTCCATTTTGCTTCTTTCACTCCCATGAGCCATCTTTGGTCCTCAAATCTACTGTCATTGAAGCAGCCTGGTGTAAGGGACACATCTGGGATTAGGGAGCTGAGAGATTAGTTTGAGACTCATCTGCCTCTTCTTCATCGTGATCTTAGCCTGTTGGATTTCAATTTCTTCATTTGTAAAGGGGGGGGGCATTGTGGATGTGGGCTATAAAGGATCTTCTAGCTCTAAAATTATGATTCCAAACAGCTGGAAAATGCAAAAAGCTACATGACATAATTGCATGCTACACCTAAAGCAAGTTCTCTCTGGATCTATCAAGTAATTATTTGAGGGGGGTTGGGATAATATACTCTTCACTGTTTTCTAATAAAGCACTGGCTTTTAAAAAATTTTTATAAGTCCTGTGGTTATTCAAAATACGTATTTCTTTAAATCAAAGGCAACTTTAAAAATTCTACTTCTCCAGGGTTAGAATGCTGAATTCAGTCAACTATGAACACTTGTTGAGCTTTTTAATTTTCTTTTTTAAAATGAAATTGCGAAACCAGGAGTTCATTAGTTTGATTCTAACCAAAGAGACAATTGCATGTGGTATTTTGGGACCTTTCCTCTGGTAAGTGATAGTTTCAGATCCTCTTTATCAGAAGCAATGTTCTTTGACTTGCTGAACAAAAGAAAACAGCATTTGGGGGATATATCCACACATAATTTTGTAGTTTAGATGATTTTATGCTTTCAAAGTGTTTATTTCAATCCAATTGTATCATGTAGTACAGCGTCTGTGATATGATTCAAAGTTTACCTTAACTGTATACTAACATTTGGTAAGAGCAACAGTAGTATAAAGTTCACTAGAGTTATTGCTTCTATTAGTATGCCAATGGCAATACTTCAGGTAGATTATTTGTGACTTCTTAATGGGATTTTAGCATTTGTATCTGTTCATATTTCAACTTATATCTTATTGATTTTTATAGACTTAGAAGCATAATACATTATATCCTAAAAGATAATATGAAGTGAGCATTTTTTAACTGTGGAAATAAGGGGAAAAAAATCAAATACATCAGCAGTTATACCTAAATATTATACTCTCATAAAAGAAACATCACATATGGATTATATAGTTTATGTAGTATAAAACGGAGAAAAGTAAATAGTTTATGTAAAACAGTAACCACAGCAGCTTTTCAATTGGGAGTGACATTAAGAGATTTATGGGGCTTAGAGAAAATTGTGATTTATAAGTATGAATGAAAAGCTCTTTTGGTTTTCTAAAAATTAAAGGTTGAGTCTTTGAAGAAAACTTCTTTATAAGGGAATGTAAACCACACCAAATTATCCTATTTGTGCATAGCATGCCCATTTGGCAAATGCCGATAGTATTATATTAAATTTGACACAAGCCTATCTGGCTTATTAAAGACAGTGTTTACCCATCCTTTAGTATTGTGGGTGTCAAATCCATAAAATGTTATTACAGGAACATGTAGCTTATGTTGAAGAAACTTCATATGCCATAGGTACTTTATTAGTTTTAAAGAGAAAATATTAACAAATTGCAATAATTGCTTGGACCTGTTGGAAATCTTCTAAATGGCATTTTAAAGCTTCTTTAAAATATTAAAAACTGACATTATCTTTTTAAAAATGAAAAGACATTTACTTGTTCTGAGTTTTCAGTAAAACAATACTGCTCTGCATACATATCACGTTTTATTAATCCTAAGATGCACTTATTTGAAAAAAATTTAACATCTGAAATTGGTATTTTGATGTCAATTTTTATTAGTACACAAAAAATGGGGATGCTTACATTTGATAGTGTCTTCAATTTGGTAATATAATGCATTTTTAAGCCACCGAATAAGAAAAACTAGTTTTATTAGACTCTTTCACCTCCAGTACAGTTCTTCCTTCATGAGGGCAATTGTTATGCGAGCTTCTGTCTGAGAGCAAAATGTCGGACTGGTCTAGCTCTTCTTTAAATCAGAGGTTGTAGCTGCTGGAAGCCTCATTCCCAGCAAAGCTTCCTATTCTCTCACCCATTCTTCATTCCACGTCCCATAGAAGGCAGCAAACATATTTAAATTCCTGGGCTTTAGAGGCTGCCAAATCTCAATTCCATTCCTTCCTTCACTTCCCTTTCAGGATTGGTTCTACTATTAATTTATTAACCAATTAAAGACAAATATATAAAAAATGATAAACTGTGGTGCCTCACATATAGTAAGAGCTTAATAAATGACAGTCTTTATTGAGATGGAAAGCCAAACTCCATCATTTAGGTGATTGGTTTGATAATTTCACAGGTTCTGGAGTTAGGAATTAGAGTAAAGCAAATTAAAGTACGGCATTTACATCAGGAGTGTTTTATTTATTTATTTTTTGAATAAATTTATGGATGAGCTGTTCCTAATCCTGCCAAAGTACTTTGTAAACTGGTGAACTAATACCTTGAAAGAGTTCTTGTGATTTCAAAACTTAAATCCAGTTCACTAGAATTGGGAGATGATTATTGACCTTTCTGGAGAAGGAATGGAGGCAGACGCTAGCTCAGGGAGCATGAAGGGGTAGAAGTGTAGGGTATGAGGCAGGTGGAAAGGGTTAGTGAGTAAACAGGTGTAACTGAGTAGACTAATCCTTCCTGTAGTTGTCACTGAAAGGTTCTCAGAGAGGTTGGGCAATAAGAGAAGTGAGAAAAGTAGGTAATTTAGGATTTAGGATATGTAATGCAAGTCAAGAAAAATGGGATATGTAACTCATCTTAATATTTGCAAGGACCAAGTTCTCAAAATCCAGATCTGGAGATCCTCAAGGTGTAGGCTGGGATAAAATTTTCCTAGATGCTGAGGACATTTGCCTTTGTGGCTCAGCCTTAGTCTCACATGGTCCATTGTGAATCCAAGTAAGGGAGAAAATGCAACAGGAAGGGAACTTGACTGACAATACTAAGTTACTAATCCTTTACCTGGGAATGCTTTGGGATTTGAACACACAACATCCTTGAAACACATCAGACCTCACAGGCCTCTGGGGACCCCATCGAGTTGCTGGAGACTCTAGTCCATGGGATCAAGGTTGGTGCTAATATGAGGCCAGTGGGATTCGCAGGGCTCAAATTTTGAGGATTCACTCTTAGGGCCTTGCAAGAGTCCAGCTCTGAGACTGAGTTCCTCCTTGAATTATGCACCCTACTGACTCATTCACTTTACCCTAGTCTCAGCTGTCAATGAAAGTTGTTTTTAAGTGGGATTTAAGGCCACAAAGTTGCTTGTGCTGTACTTTCTCATTGGCTACCAATGGGCCCAGCTTTTGTAGTACTCTGAGGATCATGGAGATACTTCATTTTCTTTATCTTCCATATCTGTGATGCGTACAACCTTGCCACTTCCTTCTATATATTAAGGTCTATCTATGCCTTTAAATTCCATAGCCAAAAACAGAGGTTGCTACATCCTAAGCAACTCCTGAACTTACCTATTGCCTGAAGTATCTCTGTCACCCTCATTGCACATGCTATACTCCCCACTTTGGCCAAATTGTCACCTTCCTTAAGTAATGATGTTAACATGACAAGAGAATAGGCTTTGAATCTCAGATCTGATTTTTGTCATTGGCAAGACCTTGGACAATTTACCTGAACACCTCTGAACTTTAGAAGAAGTGGAAGTGATCATAACTCCATTCTTAATGGAATGCTGTAAGGTTTAAATAAACATGGAAAGCATTCAATACAGCCCAAGCTAGTCCCCTCAAATTCTCAATAGTTATCCTTTAATGTACCTACAAATTAAAATTTATGTCTGCTCCATTTTCAAGAAGCATACTAACTTTTGTATTTCTTACATCAATTTTTCTCCCTTTGTTCCAGACCTGTTGACTATGGGATTTTATCTGAGCTCCCCTCTCCTTTGCTCACAAAATTTATTTCTCCTGTGGATAACTTCCTTATGTCCCAAGCTTGCTGTCTCTCATTTGTCCTTGTTTCATTTGCAGATATTTCTGAAAGCCATTTAGCTAAAATGATCTAATTTTTCATTAACAGATATTTCCACCTAGATCATTCTAGTTGGTCTTCTATCTACCATGTCAATAATATGCCTCGTTCATTATGTAGAATGCTAGTCCTTAGCCCATGTCTCATCAAACGCTGAATGGCAAAATGTTAGCATTGTGAAGATGTTGTCTATGTTAGAGTCTAAGCTATAAGAGGGCATAGACTTTGAACCTCTTCATCCACACATAGCTCAGTTGGTTAATATACCAATATATGATGTGTGAATTTATAATTCTAAGGGTCAGTGAGGGCCCATCTATTGTGATGAGGTTCTGGTTGCCTGAGTAGAACCAGTGATCAGAATTTCCTGGGGTACAAATCAGTTAACATGACATAAAACAAAATATCAAATAATGCGGATTGAGGTCATCACTGAGGGTTTTCTATGACAATCCACTGGCAAATAACATTGAAATAACATTGTTTTGGTACTGTAAATATCTCAACAGGCTTCTTGGGGTGGCTCAGCTTTGATGTCGAGGAAGCACCGCAAGCTTCTGCATGGCATCCACAGGTAAATGTAGTTTCCTGGTGTACAGCCAACTTTTGTCAGGCAAAGGGATCTCTTTGGACTAAGTGATATTTTGAAAATAGGAAAAAACAAAGTAATTGTTTTCTTTAAATAAACCAAAAAAAAAAAAAAAAAAAGAAAAAAAAAACCCAAATTCCTTAAACCACTCAGACAAGGAGTTCTGTAGAACAGTAAACTTTATGAGTACTGAATGTAGATACTGATAATGATAGTATTCCATTGCCTGTGGAAACTAACTGAGTCTTCTCCCTTCTCTGTCCCTTTGTTTAAAAAATAGGGCTGACTCTGTGGCCTGGAACCCACACAAGATGCTGATGGCTGGGATCCAGTGCTGTGCTCTCCTTGTGAAAGACAAATCTGTAAGTTTTCCTTTTGTGTTCTTTGGGCTTCAAGGGGGTTAAGTCACTGTGTTTGCCAAGGGCTTCATTTTTGCTCACTCTTGGCGACTTGGGCAAGGTGTAAATTGAAGGTCTTTGGGAAATGTTGATGGTCTCTACATGAAAGACAAAAGAAGCCTAGATAAAATATTTAGTGATTCTGCTCAGGTAATTTTGTGGATTTGATTTAGGTATTATATAATCTCATTAGTTACAGCAAAATGGTCTCTCTCACCCGCATTTGGATTATATTTTAAAACTCAGTTTTAAACATTGCCAAGATTTTTTTCTCCTTGATTAAGTCTGGGATTTAAGTTATCTTGAAACTTCTGCTCACTGAGAAAGTGGAACAGATGTGTGTCATACATTAAATTGAATACTTAATACGCTTAGCTAGGGCTTAACAGCCCGTTTATATGGGAAGACATTTGTTCAGGGCTGATCATTGAACACTGATTTATTAGGGGATTGTTCATCCCAAGTGGTTGGTACTTAGCTTCTTTTGGAATGCTAGGGAGAGTTGGAAACTTGTCTGGATAACTGTGAGGCAAGTGGGAAAAAAGTTGAGGCTCCTGTTGGCCAGAGGTATAAACTCTGTGTTTTCCATGGGTTAAATAAGGATCCTTGTGGGAAGTGGCCCAGGCTGGGAAGTGCTACTTCATTCTTAGAAATGCCTCCTCAAGATCTGTGTTCAGCATGTGGGTGATCTTTCTCAGCCATCTGTTTACATTTTTTTCTTAGGGAACTCCCTTTGCCAATGTTAAAGTCATTTTCTGTTTTTAAGGAATTTTATTTCAAATGAAAACTATTTTTAAAACTTGAAACCTAGTCTTGCATGTGTAGCTATTTACAACTTTGTAAAGAAATTGTGATATTTATATGCTACTGCCCTGTGCATTTTGACATGATCAAACAGAATGTCCATCAGAAACTAGGAACAGGTTTTGCTTCTATAGAAATAGACACCACCAGAAATATGAATCAGTTCCTTAATGTTGTATTAGGTTGGATATAGTTGAATGTATTCAATACCATTTAATTTTTAAATTTAAGTTTTAAAGTTGTGGTGTGACTGTATTTGTAACTGAAAGGTAGTTTAAGATTACTATATTGATTGTGAACCAAAGAACGTAATCAACTTGCCCATAGGTACACATTTAGGATGGTACAGAGATAGGAATTTACTCAAGTTTTCTTTTGGTCTAGGTATAAAAACAAAAATGTGTCAATCATCCTTAATGAGTGAGGTATTTTACATGTGCTTTCTACCTAAATCAGACAATCTGAATGACAAACTTATCTGTTGGTGTGATACGCTAAGGAGTGGGGAACTTACACTAAAAATTTTATGACTACTCTTAAATAACTTTCTAGCTTTCATACACTTTTCTTGTTAAATATTTGAGTAATTTAGCCAACAACTGAATTACATTTATGTACTTGAGGCAATTTAAATTTTTCTGGATCATATAACTCCTTAACAGGGTTTTATTAAAAAAAAAAAAAAGAATTCATTCCTGGATCTTAGTGACAATCATAACCATGTCTGTTTTCATGGCATGAATTAAGAGGTTCGGGGAATTCTATTCACTGTGCAAAGAACTGAGCACTTTCAAAAAGTTACCTGATTTTTTTTAATGAAAAAGACTGTTTTCAATTTAAATGGAATAGAAAGCTGAACCATGAGATATGAGATATGGCAATCAGTTTAAGCTTTGTGTTGGCAGTTTTCTATCTCTTTTGTACCTGGTTTCTGCCTGTTATTCTCTCTTCCATATCATTAATTCATTCCATCAACCAGCAAAAATGATTTGTGTAGGCTAGACACTGTGCGATTCTAGGCTCTTATAGCATTGAATCAGACATATTCCTCAGAGACAAAGAGCTTTTAATCTCACAGGGAAGACAATAAACAAAATGCAGGTATTTAATTTTTTAACTGCTATTTTGATAAGTGCACCAACGAATGTCAGACTCTGTTGATTGTAAAAATCAACAGGCATTCCAGCCTCCTTCTCTTCTTGCCCATCTCCCAATATTCACCTAACTAGCCTCCCCCTGCAGTTTCCATATGACATAGATATGTCTAATGTGATGTAGGAAAATGTGATGAGGACCTTGAGAAGAATTTTATACGAAAGCATTCTTCTCACATTTTTCTACCTTGAATGCAGTTGCATCAGACTTGATATATGGGTTGTTACCGTAAGGCAATTACCCTCAATTTTAAAAATTAATATGCACAGAATGACAGAAACAAAGGGAAAGTCTTGGATTGGGGTAATTTTGAAACGTTGCACCCCCAAAATGTGACTCCTTTCAGACTTTGTGATATCAGTGGTTAAAAATTAAATGTTCTTACTACTGAAACCATCTCCCCATTGGGTAATCTGTTAGTTGCAGCCAAATGCACCCTTGTCTGATATAGAGAAGAATATGTCACTTCAGTAATACACAGTAGGGAGATCTATGATGTTCCAGGTGGAAGGAACATCATGTAAAAATTCTTTAAGAAAGTAATGTCCTTTTTTAAAAAATTAAAAAACTGAAAAAGCCTATTTTGACTGAGGCATAGAGAATAATGTGAAGATTGACATAATATGAGACTAAAGGATCAAGCAGTGGGTAGATCATGAAGGGTCTTAGAGACTATTGTGATGATTTTAGACTTGATCTTTAGAACAATAGAAGAACTAAAAGTTATTGGAAAAGATTTTCATTTAGGACAATGAATTGGAGGGGAACAAGAATAGATAGAAGACTAAAAAAAGGCTTGTAATATCCTATGCCAGAGTTGATGGCAAGAGAGATGGGAAAATGTGATATTTAGTATACATTTTAGCTGTCAATTTAGACAGGGCTGAATTATCAACTATTGATTATCAATTCATTATCAATTATTATGGAAGATGAGAGAGAAACAGGTGTCATGTCTATCTCCCTAAATAGAATCATTCATTCGGTTGCTGTATCAGTAATCAGGATACAGCAACCGAATGAATGATTCTATTTAGGGAGATGAAGATCACTGGAGGAGAAGAGTTGAGAGTGAAACACGTTTCAGTGTTGCTTATACTAAATGAGGTTCTTCTGAGGTATTCAAGTGAGGAAGTCACATAGGAGGTTGACATACGGACCCAAATCTAAGAAGTCTATATAGTAAAGTCTATTACAGAATTGTTGACACATAGATGACATGTGAGGTCATAGGAATGGGTTAGATGCCTTGGGACGCTCTTTGGAATTAGAAGAAAATAAGATCTAGAACTTAGCCCTGAAAAACTTTAGCATTTAGAGATTAGATAGAGGAGGAAGGATTCCCCATGAAGGCTGAGTCAGAATGGCCAGGGAGATGGTGGGAAGACCACAAAGAGGGATGCTAACCAAACAGAGAAGAACATGTAGGAGAGAAAAAGTCCTCTCTTTTCCTTACCCATTGCAAGGTTCATGGCTGACTTTCCTATAACAAAAGACATTGACAAAAGAAAAGCATAACAAGCTTATTTAACCAACATTTTATGTGAAACAAGAACCTTCAGAGATGAAGCTCCAAAGGCCCAGGTAAAACTATTTTTCTGGACAATCATGCAGAAGTATGGTCATAAGCTGGCAGGGGGGACTTTGCAGAGCCTGTTTGTCCAGGCTTCTTGACCTCCAGGCATAAGGTAGGACCCCTCTGGAATGAGGGTCTTAACAGCCTCCTTTTAGGGGAGATAGGTCAAATAATTATTTATGACCATGTTTCAGGGAAGAAAGATGAGAGAAGGTCAGCGAGTGACCTCCAAGGTGCCATATTTTGGATAACTGTGTTCTGAGCCATACAAAATGTGAGGCATGTGAATGACTTTCATCCTTCGTGTGACAGCTTAGTGTCACCCTCTTCTTTGAAGAGTCCCCAGACTTACCAAGATAAACTGGCACCTCCCCAGTGTTGTTTCTCAGACTGTTTCCCTCCTTTAAAGTGCTTATAGTTACTATATGCATAATAGTGTGTATAATTACTATTTGTAATGACTTCTCATGTAATATCATTCTCTCCTACTGAATGTAAGCTGCATGAGGAGAAAGACTATCATCATGTTCACCACTTTGTTGTCAGTGCCTAGCAAGTAATTCACTGAAAAGGGAAAAAAATCTAGTATCTAAAAACTGAATGGTTAATACATTAATCATCCTCAGAAATATCTGCCTTCATGTCAGCAGTAACTAAGAATTTGAATTTTTCCCTCACCCCAAATTATTCCTTTTGAAAACTCCAAGATACAATGATTAAAATTATAGTTGATGAGCTCTATTGCTTAGGTCCTAACACAAGGCTTGTGTTAGGACAATCATTGATGAATAGTGATTTTAATTGGTACTTCTTCTGTTGAATGTAAGAGGATAACTCTAGTTTAAAAGAAAGTAAATTACTTAGTAAATATACTGCTGTTCAGGCAAAAACTAATTCCCTAATTTGTACCTGCAAAACCCTGACATCCACAATGCTGTTTTCCTGATTGACTGGTAGCTTTTGCATTTTTGATTTCCTGTGTTAGTAAATAGGACTGCTTCAGGAACAAAGCACAGCTGTTGCTCTCAAAGTTGTAGTATCACTAACCCCCTTTGAATTACAGGGATAAAAAGAAAATCAGGGATTTAAAAAAAATCTGATTATAAATAGGTTGACTTCAGAGATAAATGCGGGATTTGCGTGGCTGTTTTGGATCAAAGACAGTTTTGATGCTTTGATCTAAAATAAAAGGCAATATATTCTAAGAATCAGTTACATAGATGGAGAAAAATCTCAGTATCAGCTTTTTGATTTTTAGTGTTTGAGACAGATTTTTTAGTTCAAAAAAAAAAAAAAACCCCAACAGGTATGAGAATATGAAACATGCTAATCAGATGGCATTTTAAGTATAAATGATTCCTCTTTATTTCTACCTACCATTATCATTCCATTTGAACTCACAATGCCTTTCTGTTGAACCTAGCTGCTA